TGGAAGTAGGAGCATATGCCGCAGAATCAAATTTTTCATCAGAGGATGGAGCTTCTGCCATTGAAATCAAACCATCTACGCCAGAAACGGGACCCGAGGCTGCTCCAGAACTTAGAAGTTGACTCATTGCACGACGAGGCATCTTCCTATGAACTTCACACAGGTTTTCGAGAAACACACCTGTAAATTAAGATCAATTAAGAAGCTAATTCCTTGAGAAAAGTTTATGTAAAGAGAATTCAAAGACTTACCTTCTCCAATGGCCAAGTTGTGATATAGATCAACAATGTTGGCGCAATTATCATAGCATGAACGTGAGCAAAGTCTGGCAATGAAACGAGGCTCAAGGAGGGAGTCAGAAGAGATTCCTACAGATTTCCTGTCAACTCCACATGCATTCGTGCACTCATCACTCTCGATCCAGTTGTTCATGTTCTTGACAACGATCTCTGAAGTCTTGCACTGGTATTCCATGTTTTCTTTGTGATTTATGTAATTCTCTAATATGCATCGTTTTCCTGAAGAAGCAATAGAGAAGGTGCACAATCCAACAGGTAATTCCTCGCAGATGATTTCACCTAATGAAAAGAAGATTCCATTAAGAAACGATTTGGAAATGATTGTCAGAAATAAATTACGATGATAGTGGTTGTACCTAGAGCTCCCTGGAGAAGGAGTGACGATAAAAAGAAGAGAATGAACGCCATTTAATTTATCTTTTCTTCTTATTTTTCCTTCGAAGAAAGTATTGAAAGTGTATGTGTTTGAATGACTTGATGAGTTATTGGAGGCTATAATATATATACATGTACACGTTGCAAAAAGATAAAGGAGTCTTCTTGAGCTGATTTAGTGGTAAAAGAAATCCAACGTACAATGGTTGATCCTTTTCATATTTACATATGCATTCACACCGTAAATTAACGAGTAAAAAGACAGTGGAGACTTCTTTAAAGTTGTTTCGTAAATTGTTCTATTAAAGAGGTTAAATTATTATGTAATATAGTTTTCTAATGATTCTTTGTATATTCATTATTTATAAAATTTTAAAAATGAAAAAAAAATACTTGTTGCTCAACCCCGGAATTTTGATAATATTTATCCAATCCAATCTATTTTGTCACCTCTAGCTCAACGGTATCCAATGTTGTTGTTCCTCATTGAGGTTGAGGTTCAAGTCACGTACGTCGTAGACATAGGTGGATTTAAGGAGTAGTTTAGGAGTAGGTTACATTTATCGTTTCAAAAAAAAGTATAATGCATATGTTTTCACTTCTTTTTCGTGTTTATAACTTACTAATATATGTTAAACTAATTTCAACTTGTTAATATGATTAAAAGAAATACAATGATTATCTATTTAGATTATTTCAGTAGCATGCATTTTTTATAACGTCTAACACAAGCACCCATTATTTTACTATTAAATCTATATTTTTTCGTATCATGTGATACTTGAACCCCCAACTTGTCGTTGTGATACTTGAACCCTCAACTTGTGGCTAAGATACACATATCTATCAACTCTCGATACCAGTAGGCTATAAACTATTTGATTCAATAATATGCTCTTAACATTGTCATCAATAATTTTAGATGATTGGAATTTACATGATTACCAAGTGGGATTTTAAGTTATGCTCGGAGGTGCATCGCACATAACACAACTAGTTTGATTCCAAACATGAATACATGATCACGAATCTGAGTCAAGGGGAACGACAAAAAACCTAAATGGGTTTTCAAACTACGAGTATAGTGGAAAAGTTGGACAAGAGTGGAAAAATCTAAATTGATATTGAGTTTAGATTTATGTCCTTTGAAATCAAATTGTGGAGTTAGCTCGTTAATCAAGAATAATTAAATCTTATCAAAAATGTTTCCGGGTAACCATAAAGTGTCATTCGTGATCACAACTGGTATATCATTTTTAATAAATAAAAGTTTTTTTTGCCACATGTCAATCTCTAATAAGTTTTGACACTTATCATTTTGTGATATTTTTTAAATAAATAATATTTACATGTCAATTTATGGTTTTATTCAACTTTTAAAATTAAAAAACCAGATAATCTTATACTTATATATGTAAAGTATCAAATGTAATAAATATTATAATTAATTGCAATTAATATTATTCTTCATTTCTTATTTCAAAATTTTATTTTAAAAAATACTTATTATTTATATTTTAATATTTTATTTTTTTTAATCAACACGTATAACCTACGGATTTTACACCAAGTACATATGATATCCCAGTTTTTCTACTGGTGCATATGAGCTTGCAAACCCTACAAAGTAGTGTTGGGCTTGGCAATGATGTCCATCGTATAATACTTTGCTCTCTAACTGTGATTCATTTTGTTACCAAAGCCATATCTTCTGAGCATCCACAATTCATTGGTCTTTATAAAGTTTAATGGATTGTTGCATCATTCATCGACTTTACTTTTTAACAACCACAACCCATTAAACAAATATTCAATCATAATTACCATTTAATTTTCTCTATTGAATCCTTATTGAAAAGTTGAATGATCATTCAACTCCACTTCATGTCATCACCCACACTCCATTAAGCACACATTCAATCCTAGCCATCGTCTTATTCAACTCTTATACAACTTGCATTGTAGATGCCCTCACACATTGTAAAATATAACTTGTAATCATTTGTTACTCTTAGTCAAAAAAAAAAATCGTAGGTTGTGCATCGATATAGTATTTCTCTCATTTGATTGGCTGACCATATTCCATTTCATCAATGAATTGTAATAATATTCAACTTATTATCTTCTAAATCATTCATATCAAAGCAATCCTTTTTATCATGTAGACCATCCTTTTCAACCTTATTTGCACAATGATCACCTTCATCTCCCGGCATTTGGGAGTCGCATAATAGGTTCATAAAGTTATCAGTGGTGATATTGTTCATTGATTCCTTTAACTCCCTCTCTAGTTCACAATCTAATAAACATCACTATCATGGTCACTCTCGTTATATGAAGGGTCAATGCTCACTCTCACAACTAATATTCCATCTCTTTGAACAAGATCCCATATTTACGCCCTCTATATGTAACAATCTTATGGTTCAAGACATAAACACCATGCAATGTGTGTAAGAATCGACATGCATTAACATTCTAAAACATAAATTAGAAGGAAAGCATTAAGATTCCAAAAAGGAGTTATAATTAATACTGATTATGCACATTCAATCGTACGTTGAATACATTCCGTGGTTCCTTTGAAACCCTTCCTTTTTTGGAATTTGTCTATTTACACATTCAATGTCTTAAAAGATGGTTCAATTGGATCAAATTTTGGGGCAATTCGAGTGTTTGTAATTGGGCCGGCCGGATTTGTTGCCCTTTTAATATCTTGTAATGTTGTCTTATGTTTTGCTTGCTCGGCCTTGTTTGTTTGATTGATTTTATAAATTCGCCGTTTCCAAAAAAGATGGTTCGAGTTCTATGTCATTTAGTGAGATTTTGTATAAGCCAAGAAAATCAGTTAAACTTAAACCTAGGGTTATAAGTGATAACAATTAATTTGAAAAACATATCTTAAGAATTTACGATTTAATTAAAAAAGAGTAGCAATGGTTATACTACAGACTAAACCCTAAACCAAACTACAATGTTTTTTTTTAGTCTAAACCAAACTACAATGTTTTTTTGCAACTTGTCACGTATAAATGAAGATATGAATAAATGAAATTTGGAAGCAGCTGACTTGTTATTCATATTTGTTGGAAGATGTATAAGAAAAAGTTAGATTTTTGGACATTTCAAATGAATTTAATTCTTGTTAAAGAAAACATAACTGCGTTCACGTATATTGCAATTTTGTAGTTTTCATAAACATCCTTAACAGAATTCTGCATTCCAACTTTAGAAAGAGACATTTAGGGACACTTGTCATCTCAAATTTCAACACCCCCTCTTCTTGTCAATAAAAGTCAAATAAGCAGTTCACAATATGCTGATCAAGGTCCTAAACAACGTATGCACCCCTCTTTTAATCTTAAATATGTTATTTTATATTTTCATGCCCATGTAAATGACTAAATTCTCCTCTTCAATTGTATATATAAAGAGAAACCCCACAACATCAAATATAAAATTTCAAAGTCACCACCAATCTTTGTCTGCGCTTAACAAAACAAAGACAACACATTTTCTTAGTTCATTCCCCGCACCAAAAATGAAATTGGTCCTATTCCTTGTTTTCACTCTCTTCCTACAAGGAGCTTTTGGTAATTTCACCTCTATTTTACTTGTCATTTTTCCAGTTTATATATATAAAACAAAAAAATTAATAATTTTTACTTGTATAGGTGAAATTATATGTGAGGAATTACCAGTGGGAATGTGTTCTTTCTCTATTTCATCTTCTGGGAAGCGTTGTGTCTTAGAGAATTACGAGTCCAACAATGGTGGAATTGATTTCCAGTGTAAGACATCTGAGATTGTTGTGAAAGGGATGTGGGAATTAATTGAGAGCGATGATTGCACAAATGCATGTGGGGTTGATAGAAAAACAATTGGAATATCTTCAGATTCCCTCCTTGACCTTAAGTTGACTACCAAGATTTGCTCCACCGAATGTCTCCAAAATTGCCCCAACATTGTTGATCTTTACTATAACTTGGCATTAGGTGAAGGTAATAACTAACAAACATTTCCTCTATTAAACAAATGCGATAATTTGACTTTATTTTGTCAATCAAGACAACAATATAATAAGTGAAAGAAAAACAATGATTTGTAATTTGTTATATACGATTCTTTAAATTTTCAGGAGTTTATTTGCCGGAATTATGCAAAGTACAAAGGACAATGGCACGACGTGTGATGATGTCACAAGTTTTAAGCTCTGGAGAAGCTTCATCTCCATCCACGTACTCAGCTGCCAATGGTCCAATCTCCAGTGAATCATCAGGTTTTTATCATGCTGAAGCTCCCATGTAATTAGATCGAGAGAAGAAAAATAGTTTGTTTATTAATTATGTGACAAAAATATACGTGTACTCTTGTGTATGAGATGAGTTTTTTTTTTTTTTATGTTGTTTGTATCTATCAGTATTATTGTGAGACATTTTCGTAAATTTATCATTAAATTGGCAGTTTATGATAAGTAGCAACAAACATCACAACTAGCATAGAGCATATGACTTAAAGCAGATAGATAAAAACGTTTCAATGCCATCAAAAGCAAAGCTTGAGACTTTGATAAATACCAAATGTAGGAACATGAAAAAGAGGTTTAACATGCAACCTCATTGCTAGCAAAAGATTAAAGATAAAAAATAAGATTTTTCAAGAAAAGGAAACATCAATTGCATCTAAGCTTGTGTGATTTCTCTAAGAAAATGATCCTCTAAGTTGGCATAATAGGGTAACTAATAATCATGTGGCTTGATTTTGAACTTGTGTTTCTGATTGAGATTGTGGTGTGATGATTTGTTGAGTTTTATTTGAGTTAGGAATGTACTTCCAACAGCGCTTGTGAACACCACTAATTTTCTTTGGAGCATCAGCAGCTGCTATACCTGCATATCACCAATGTTTGACATCAGTTATAATCAAATTGGTCATTTATGTTTACCTAATTTCACTAAAATAGGAGAAAGTTAAACTAATTGATATCATCAAGCATGTCATAATCCTTCTGTTTGAGTATTGAATTCAAATGTGAAGAACATGTATTGCATCCCATCATTATCCTTAACTTTTTCACATTCATCAAACCATCAAAACCAAAAACGAACTGGGAAAAAATGTAACAGTTACCGAAAGAGAATTCAGAACTCACCGTCTTTGTGAACAATTCCCCAAGCCTTCCCATGCCTACCATCCTGAAAAAACAACAAATTTACAAACAGTTAGCAGAATTTTCAGTGAAAATAGAATAACATTTGAAATGCAAGATAAATTATATCGATTCTGCACAAGTGGAAGTGGAGCTCATTGTTTGGAAGTAACTAACGAAACAAAACCCTCTCAAAAAAGAAACGCCCGATGCATCACAACATACCAATAAACCTAAAAATAGACACGATTTGAATCTGTTAGCGAGAGATAAGCGGAGAGAGGGGGGAGACAGACCTTGTAGAGATTGATCTTGGTGATCTGATAGGCGACGCCAGACCAGTGCGTCTTAGCCATTTGATAACCGATTCCCCAATTAGGAAGAAACTGGGCCACCTCAAACAAGTTCTTCTTCTTCTTTCTTTTCGATTTTGAAACTGATGTGCTAGGGTTTGAAGCAGAAGGCGATGCAGAAGCAGGCGAAGATGTGCTCAAGGTTCTTCTGGTTATGTTAAAAGACAACTGCTTCCATGAACTACCAATCGAAGCGATTGATCTGCTCGCCATGTTCAGGTGCTGGTTGCGGCCCCTTCGTTCTTCCTGTTCGGCGATTTCCCTTTTGATACCTTCATTCTCAATTGTTTGTTATATCCCTTGAAGTTTCTGCTAGTCGCATATTATGCCTACAACTTTTAACACTTTTAGTCATTTGGATCCCAAATATTATCCTTGCTTATTTAAGTCCCTTAAGTTTCTGCTACTTGCATATTATACCTACAACTTTAACACTTTTAGTAATTTGGATCCCAAATATTATCTTTGCTTATTTAAGTCCCTCAAGTTTACTGTTTTGGACGAGCATCATCATAATATCTATTGAATTTCACAATAGATATTATGTAAAATTTAATGTTAGTCAACCCGACTGAAATTTAATCCAATGATCTATTGAGAAACCGAAAAAATTACAATTGTCTATTGAATACAAATTAAAGAAAAATGAAAACAAACATGGTTTTTTAAAACGTAGAATTGAATTAAAAACTAACAAGGAACTAAAAAAGATATTACAAAGACCAAATAGTAGTAATTGGGTTTTGCAACCAAGCTACCCAATTAATGATAAGCTTAGAGCTCCTATGAGAAATCCATAAAAAAAAATATATATATAAAAAAAAAAAAAAAAAATTGTGTTAAAATGTAATCAGATATAAGAACGTTTGAAGGCTTAACATCGCCGAACATCTAGGTGTTCATTTGCTTCTACAATTATTGTCATCCTTTTTTCCATTTAATTCAAGTGAGTTTTTGTTCACCAATTTGACCACTCACATAGAATTGATTTATGAGAGATTCCAACTTATTAATTATTTTTGTCAAAACACAAAAAATAGATAGATAAGTATAAGTGTTATTAGTTTAGATATAACAAATTTAATGAATTACTCCTAAAATATCACATCAAACTAGTGCTAGTTGATACAAATTACTTTAGAAAATAATGACTAAAGTCAAATTCATTTGGGCATTCTCCTGATTCAAAAAAAATCAACTGGATCAAGTATGAGTTGTCAATTAAAACATATATGGATAGAACCTACAACAGGGGTTCGAAAAACAAGTAGTTTTTGTTGGGTTGTTATCCTTTTTTAGGCTCATTGGGATTCTTGTTATTGGAATATCGAGTTATCTTGGTAGAAATTTGATATCTTTATTTCCGTCTCAGGAAATAGTTTTTTTTTCCATAAGGAATTGTGATGTATTTCTACTGAATTGTGGGTCTTTTATTAGGCTGATAAAAGTGAGTACATTATAACCCTCACCAATGAAGTGTTATAGGTGCTAAACACCACCCCCATCAAAATGCTACTAGCCTCGCTAAGGAAGGCTCGCTATGGCCTTAATGACAGGGGAGAGGAGAGAGAAACATGAATAATGTGTTCCAATTTGGTTGATCCAAGTTTATACTTTTTTTTTAATTTTTTTTTAAAAAAAACCCATTAAACTCACAAACTATCACTCTTTACTTTTTTACACTTTGAATGCTAACACACTTCCTAACCTATGTGACTTCAAAAAATATGATGTGGCATACAAAAATATGATGTGGTAACATGCTAAGCATGTCATCACTCCCTTTACCCTTAGCTCATATTTATGGTGCGCAATTTCGTGGAATGTAGGTAGTGGTTATGATCGATTTGATAGAAAAGACGGAATGGTGTGTATCTTTTGATGGGGATTTCCTGGAAAACAATCGTCGGGTCTTCCTCTGATTTCTTATAAAAGATATTAAATCTTTCAGAATAGAAGTGAAATAAGGTATTTATGCTCGTCGTTTCCTTTATATGGATATTAGAGTCCGGGAGCCATTCCATTGACTCAGACTGATGAGAATTTTATTCCATGGAAAATGGAACAAAAAGTTGCTGAATTTACCTATTTTTTGCGTGTACCCATTGAAGTATTTTAAGAAATGAGTCGGACAGAATGCTTTTTCAGCTGGAGAGCACAAACGGAAGAATGCTTTTTTTCAATAACGTAACTTAGTTGAGGTTTCTTCAGAACATTGACTCGATTCAAAGCAAACATATATAAAACAAGTATTAAAATAAATAAATAAATAAAACTGTTTTTGGGATCTTTTAGATGTATCAAAATATTCATAACTAAATTTATTAAAAAAATAAAAACAAATCGAAATATCTCATAATCAAGCATTTAGAAATTAAAAAAAAAAATACATATTGTTAACTTGTTGGATTTGAGACTTTAGAGATTATATCTTATAATTTTTTCGAAGTTTCTTTTATACTTTTTTTGCCCCTTATTCGAATCTCTTATAATGAAAATTAGCAAGTTTATGTTGTTTTTTACCACTCATTTTTCATAATATTCTTCAGAAATTTCCCTCAATTATTCTATCTCTGACTACGTGAAACATCCCAAAAATATAGTCCAAAATTTGCGTTTTAAATCATTAAAGAAAAACTCATAACTCGTAAAATAACATAATAAAATCACATGTTGTGTATCTCAAACATCATATCAAAATATTGTATCAAATTCATGTATCAAAATATCAGAGTCTAAAATATCCCAGATTGAAAATTGTGGTGTGTGCCATGCAGTCATCCCAAGCTTTTCCCCTGACTAGCTGAAGTACCTGAAAACAAAAATGAAAACTGTAAGCACGAATCTTAGTGAGTCTCCCCAAACTACCAAATATCATACACATAAACTCATACTGCAAACATTGGGCCTAGCCCACTACCTCGGGCCCCGACTGACATCGAGCCCCGCTCGGTATATATATTTGTTTCTACTAGGCCCCGTCTGTCTCTGGGCCCCGCCCGCTATACACATACAAACATATAATCATAATCAAGCTAGTACATAACAAGCAAACACAATACCCTACTCTGTTACTAATGAGATATGGAACCCCGTCCACACTCAGCTAGTGATGAGATGCGGACCCCTGCCCACACTCATCTCTCTACCAGGCACATACAAGTATCACAAAGACAATAAGTATAAGTATACACGCATTCTGTGACATCCCCAATTTTACGGTCAGAAAAGACCGATTTGTTTATGCTTTGTTTTATAAATCAGAGTATTTGTTTAAAGAAAACGGTTGCGGAATTTGTTCCCAAAACAAGATATGATAAAAACTTATCAAAACATTTCTCAAAGAGAATTTATTTTCATTAAATAATAAAACCTCAGGATTTAATGTTCCGATACAAACACATAAGAATAAATAGAACATACATTTATTTACTTTAGTGATTTACATCTCCTTTAATCTCTCAGTGCAAAGCAGCTTCGTATTGATACCTGTGATACAATTAAACTGAGTGGGTCAGGCTTGGGAGCCTGGTGAGCATATAGGGTTTCAATCCACAATAATATAATTATTATATTTAATTATCAAACAATCAACCCAATTACTCATCCCCATTATCTTCCTTACTCTTAAAGGTCTACCCTAAGAATCATCTATTCGTTCACTCCGTATTAGGCACTAAGACAATAGCTGCCAGGGTTCTTTATTAGGCACTAAGACAATAGCTGCTAAGGCTCCTTCATAGAGCACTAATTCCATAGTTGCTATGGTTCATTCATCGGGTACTAAATCTATAGCTACCAGTGTAGGTACTAAGTCCATAGCTATCATCGTCTATCTAACAGTACTAAATCCATATCTACCAGCGTTCATCTATACGGTACTAAATCCATAGCTACCAAGGTTTATCTATACAGTACTAAATCCATAGCTACCAGTGTTCGTCTATACGGTACTAAATCCATAGCTACCAATGTTTATCTATACAGTACTAAATCCATAGCTACCAGCGTTCGTCTATACGGTACTAAATCCATAGCAACCAAGGTTTATCTATACAATACTAAATCCATAGCTACCAACATTCGTCTATACGGTACTAAATCCATAGCTACCAAGGTTTATCTATACAGTACTAAATCCATAGCTACCAGCATTCGTCTATACGGTACTAAATCCATAGGTACCAAGGTTTATCTATACAATACTAAATCCATAGCTACCAGCGTTCGTCTATACGGTACTAAATCCATAGCTACCAAAGTTTATCTATACAATACTAAATCCATTGCTACCAGCGTTCGTCTATATGGTACTAAATCCATAGCTACCACAGTTTAACTCATTTAAAACATATATAAAACATCCATTCCATGCTTATCTCAAATAAACAACAATATATAAACACATAACACATATTTCGTAGCAAATACTTAATATTTATGTGTTAGGAGAAAGTGACCACACACTCACACTCAACATATACTTAATACATTCAAACAATACTTGTATTAAAATCGTGTTTATGAAAGGGACTATACACCCACGCATATAAACAACTTTATATTATACACATAGCACGTATTTCATAGCAAATACTTAATATTTATGTGTTAGAAGAAAATGACCACACACTTACACATATAAACAACAATATACTTAATACATTCAAACAATACTTGTATTATTATCGACTTTATGAAAGGGACTATACACTCACCTGATCAGAAGATGATTGGATAGCACTACGCCTTGTAGAAGTAGTATTCTTCGGTGAAACCGGGATCACTTCACACACCTAGTTTCTCGCGGGCAGAGCTTCGACTCAGAAACTCTTTTCTTCTCGAGATCTTCGGGCTTCGGGACTTGCTTCGGGTCTCGGGGTTGATACCGGGACTTCGGGGGGTTAAAATAGGGCTTACAGGGTGTATCGGGAGTGGGAGAGAAGGGATGGATCAACCATAGTCGGCTGGCCCTTCAAATCTATTTATAGGGCAAATTTGGCCCTTGCCACGTCGTGGGCTTGATCGTCACTGCATGCGTCATCCCAAGTTGCATATCGGGGACTCCCGGAGCTGTCAGGAGATTTGCCACGTCGTGGCACTGCTTGCCACGTCGCGGTCTCTGACACAGCTTTGGGGTTCGCGCCCCGAACTTCAGAAATTCATAACTTTCGCATATGAACTCCGTTTTCGACGTTCTTTATATCGACGCGAAGGTGAGATTATGATCTACAATTCTCGTTCAGACTCCATTGGCTAATTTTGAGTTTATTTTTAATATATTATAAGTATATTACTTATATATTATCTATAGTAGGCCGGGATAGGAAAACTTCGTTCGAAATTCATAACTCCTTCATCTGAACTCCGTTTTCATCTGTCTTTTTATCGTTCGACTACTATCGAATAAATCTTCAACTCTTGTTTAGATCACTAAGGATAGATATCTATCTACCTTAAATTCACTATTTACGTCGCGCTAGGTCATGTCGGTTCTGTCGCGAAACTTCGATAGGTCATAAGTTCTTCATTATAACTCGGATTTTGGCGTTCTTTATATGCACGGAAACCTTGTGGCATATACTAAAACTTGGTTAATATTAATCCTTCTAAATAATCTTCTATCAAAAAGTCATTTTTGATGCTTATCGTCTCTAATTTAATTATCCCGAATCTACAGGCGTTACACATTCCTTCATCAGGTACCACCCGACATCGAACCATAGTTCGAAAACATACATATAAACCTTCCTCGGGCCCCGCCTGGCATCGGACCGTAATCCGGAAGCATATAAACTACATCGGGCTAACCCCGACATCATATCTAAATCTGGTATAGACTAACATACATAAACATGTCGACATTGGTGCCTTCAACCCATTTCTACTGGAGAACACTCACCTCATACGCTGATTGCAAAATCCCGCAAATAAACCCCTTGCTGCTAGCTGGCAGATCCCCGACCTGTTGATCACCCAACTCACTGAGCTATCAGTACCAAAAGAACACTTAGTCCCAAAATGCCCTCACAAGTCAACCAAGGTCAACCTTAGTCAAGGTCAAAATCAATGGCCAAAGTCAACGCTCTGAGTTGACTCAAAACGCCGAGTTGCTCTATCAACTCGTCGATTTCTAAAACTAAGAATCCTAAAATTGCGATCCAACTCGTCGAGTCAATCCCTGACTCGTCGAGTCCCCTGGCTACTTATGGTAGCGATTTATCGAATCAACTTGTCGAGTCATTCCTCTGACTCGTCGAGTTCTACCGAGAACAGAATCGGGACAACTCACTTCAACTCGTCGAGTCCCTCCCTTGACTCGCCGAGTCCCTCAGTCTGGTTGGACCATCTTAACAGATTAAGCCCCTACACTTCAGTTCTAAGTCTCAATATTCGTCCACAAACTGGAATGACCTCTTAACGGTAAAGTTTCCAACTTTATCCACTCCCAATCTTTCTTAATGGGTTTAGCTCAAACCCTAGCTCCTTAAAACTTAATTCTTTGTCCAAAACCCTTATTACTCCTTCGCAAGGCATGAGAACCAAGATCTAGGCCCTAGACACCCACCAACCTCGTAAGGCCTCAAACTTTACTTCCATGCACGACCCTTTGGGGCTTAAAAGGCCATAACAATATCCTTAGGGTTTGCATGGGACTTCAATAGAATAAAGTTTACACCTTTATACCTTTATAACCCTTAATGACTCTAGATCTGAAAGTATAATCAACTTGGGACATCCATGACTCATAAATCATACTTCTTAGACAAAAACCCCATAAAAGTGACCATAAAGAGATCTAAGGAACTACAAGGCATATTAGGAGCTTGATTACCATAAAGTGATGAGAATGGAACGAAATCCATGGATCTATAAAATTCTCCTTGAACCTTCAGGCTGCTTCTTCTTCTTTTAGGCTTCAAGAACACACAAACCACTCAAAGATGGCTCACACACTCCCAAAATGCTTTAGGGTTTCGTGGATTAGGGTTTAGGACTTGGAGACTGTAAATGGGGCTGATGGGGGAGAATAAAATGCTTAAATAGAGTACAAAGACCCGAATTAAGGGTTTCCCAAACCCAGACCAACTCGTCGAGTTGGTCCACCAACTCATCGAGTAGGTCCTTCTACCCGCGTACCAAAACTCGCTCTTACTCGTCGAGTCATCCCCCAGACTCAACGAGTTGCTTTCTTGACTTAGGGTTTTCCTTTCATTTATTTGGCCTTCTGGGTTTCGGGTGTTACACTACGCATAGTAAGTTTAATTTTTTCGAAATAAAAGAGATTTTTATATAATGATAGAAAATGAGTTCTTTCGCCTCAAAATCTGAATAATATTATTCATCATTTCAATTTTTTTTTGGGCATTCATTGAAAGGTGATACGTGCTTCAAATTTGATCAATTGAGATATAGGTAAACATTATTTTTTGATTATTTATCCATTCCAATTTTTCGTCTTTCTATATTTTTTTTTTCTAATTTAATAGGTTGAATAACTTGTAATAAAACTAAGGCATGAGAGAAATATTAGATTACATAGGGTCGACGAATGTGATGGGTTCGTTAACAATTCAAAGATGGAAAAAAATCAAAAAAAAAAAAAAAAGTAAATAAATAAAGAATAAAACTCATTCTTTGTATTTTGCATATCTGAATTTCTCTCGATTCAAAAAAATATGAAATCTTGGGTTACTAATTTGTGGAATACTAGACAACTATTAATTTTCCCTTTGTTTTTGTGTCTTTAGTAGTCCTAGTATTTCTAACAATCGCAATAGCTTTTTTATTTAATGTTAAAAAAACAAGATTGTTTAGCTGATAGGAACAAAATCTCATCTATGTTTTTTTTACAAAACCTACGCTTGTACCATGACACAAATATCTCCGAAGATTGCTTAAAGCATGGCATCATTCCCCTCATTTGTTACTAGACAAAAGAGGTGTTTGATTTAATTTTTCACAGCCAAAATTCCTTTTTGGAAAAGAAAAAAAAAACAAAAAGATGGCTAATAAAACTAGTTTTAAAAGCTATTTTCAGAGTTTTGATACAAAGAAAATAAACTTTTTGAAAAAATCAGAAACTTGTTTGAAAAAGTCAGAAAACCTGATTTTTTGTAATTTTTCCAAAAAAAACTTTTAGATCGTAAAAAACTAAGTCAAATTACACTTCAATTTATCAATTTAGTTTTTGCCTCGGATGGTTGTTGGATTGCATCATTTTGCTTGGCAATAACATCATGTTTTCATTAAAGATTCACCATGGTGGCAGGGAACCCTGCAAGAATGTACAATGATAATGGTTCTTCGGCACTAGGAAATGACCAACATGTGCTAGTGCTTAATCTATCAACATGTGCTAGTGCTTAATCTATCAAAGTAAACGAACTCACATTTCGACGACACATGAGTCTGATTTTTCATGTAGTAGGAGAGCAGGTTGAAAGGCAAAATCTTACGCAAACATAAATCAAACCATATTAAACAGCAACCCAAGATTCTTTAGGTGGAACAAAAATCACCCAGTAATTCATAGCACAAACATCTGCTTTCTTTAAATTGTTTCCACAGCTAATAACTAGAAATATCATAAATGGTAGTTGAGATTACAACCACATAATACACATTACCCACATAATTCAAATTACGCCTCCTCTTCATACTCCTCTTCCTCCTCATACTCACCCTCTTCATCAGCAGTCGCATCTTGATACTGCTGATACTCCGACACCAAATCATTCATATTACTCTCAGCCTCAGTAAACTCCATCTCATCCATACCTTCACCAGTGTACCAATGCAAGAAAGCCTTCCTCCTAAACATAGCAGTAAACTGTTCACTCACACGCCTAAACATCTCCTGAATGGAAGTTGAATTCCCAATGAAAGTAGACGCCATCTTCAACCCAGTTGGAGGGATATCACAAACAGTTGACTTCACATTGTTTGGGATCCACTCCACAAAGTATGAAGAGTTCTTGTTTTGAACATTTAGCATTTGCTCATCCACTTCTTTGGTGCTCATTTTACCACGGTAGATGGCGGAGGCGGTGAGGTAGCGGCCGTGTCGGGGGTCGGCGGCGCACATCATGTTTTTGGAGTCCCACATTTGTTGGGTGAGTTCCGGGACGGTTAGGGCACGGTATTGTTGTGACCCACGGGAGGTGAGAGGGGCGAATCCGACCATGAAGAAGTGGAGACGCGGGAATGGAATCAGATTCACAGCGAGCTTTCTTAGGTCGGAATTGAGTTGTCCTGGAAACCTTAGACAGCAGGTGACACCGGACATGGTTGCAGAGATGAGATGATTAAGATCACCAACTGTTGGAAAAATTTTGGTTGGTTAGTTGATAAAACTAAAGATAAAAAGAGGAAGAGGAAATGGAGGAACTTACAGCTTGGAGTTGTGAGCTTTAGTGTTCTGAAGCAGATATCGTAGAGTGCTTCGTTGTCAAGAACCATGCACTCATCTGCGTTTTCAACAAGCTGGTGGACAGATAATGTGGCATTGTAGGGCTCGACAACTGTATCAGAAACCTTGGGAGAAGGGAATACAGAGAAAGTCATCATCATTCTATCGGGGTATTCTTCTCTGATCTTTGAGATCAGAAGAGTTCCCATTCCTGATCCTGTTCCACCACCAAGGGAATGGCAAACTTGGAAACCTGCAGTTAATTTGATGATTAAATACTCTATCTTATAAACCACTCATCAATCATCAAACGAAAATGACAAATCAAAACAATTTCACAATTATGTTAAGCAACTACAAATATATAGATGCGATAAACCAACCCCAAATTCACACCCATTCATTATACGAGGTATAAAACCAACTCTAAAACAATTTGCTAACTGATTTCACACGTTATCATAGAATATAGTTACTCTAAACTGTATATACAGTACATGTAGACAGTAGATCTAGAATTTCTATCATTATAGATATACACAGAATTTTGAAATTCAAACCAACCATGATCCATCTAGACAAGTACGAAAAAACGCCTTAAAGGTCGAGCCTTAGACACAGGAAAATAAATCTAAACCACATCGCTAAGTGAATTCACAGAATCCAACATATGATACATACAGAAAGCAGATCTGTCGTTTCAAAGAGCAATTTAAAATTTTCAAAAAACAAAGCAGAAACGAGCATAAACGTCCAGATTTGAATATATACCTTGCAAGCAATCACAGTTCTCGGCCTCCTTCCTAACGACGTCCAGAACCGAATCGATCAATTCAGCACCCTCAGTATAGTGTCCTTTCGCCCAATTGTTACCAGCGCCGGACTGGCCAAAAACAAAGTTATCAGGCCTGAAGATCTGTCCGTAAGCACCAGATCTGAGACTGTCCATGGTACCAGGCTCCAGATCCATGAGCACCGCGCGTGGAACAAACCTTCCGCCACTAGCCTCATTGTAATAAACGTTGATCCTCTCAAGCTGGAGTTCAGAGTCTCCGGTATACTTCCCGGTGACATCGATGCCGTGCTCTGCACACACGACCTCCCAAAACTTGGCACCAATCTGGTTACCACATTGGCCACCTTGAATGTGAAGAATCTCACGCATTTTCAAATGGAAATGAAGGAACGAAGAAACTAGGGGTAAGAGACAAAGTTGCAGAAGAGAGAGAGAGATTAGGGTTTCGAGTAGAGAGTGAAACTGTAGTGAAGAAAGGGGTATTTATAAAGTCTTGGACGATAGGATAATACTTTTTCAAGAGCTAAAAGTGTTGAATACAATGTACGCTCAACTTTGATGCGTGACGTACAATTCGGTTTATTGTTTTGGGTATGAAATTAGTGTTTTGTTATCTGGAAAAGTTAATTTTATGTCCCCTCACACGGCTCTAGAAAGTTTTTGATTTTGAAATTCAAATTGGTGCATGAAACAGTGGACGGGTAAATTTTGTTTGAACTTGTAAGACCTAACGGTTGCTGTGAAATATTATGTCGATAGTTTAAACAAAGTTACAACGGATACAAAAAAAAGTATTTATATTTCACTAAAAGTGTCTTTTTTTGAACAAAAAAAGATTACCTAAAATACTTTTTAAATATCTTAAAATATTTTGTCTAAAATAATAAAAATACAAAAAAATTATATTAAAAGCTAACATCTGTTTATTTTGTTAGAATAAAAATTAGATAAAACTGCAAAAAATTCATTTTTTTTGACATTTAATTCAAACGTCAACGACTTTAATACATATGGGGTATTTATTTTCTATTTTTCTTTAATGGATAAATGCTACTATAACCCAACCATCTTACAAATTTTGGTGTAAATGGTCCCTTTTTTTACATTTGAAAGTAACGATGCTTAAAGCCATTTTGTTCAAAGTGGAAGGATTTAGTCGGTAAACCTTGTCCTACTCACCATTATTTATACACACATAATCGAAATTAATCCACATAAGCTGCCATGTCACTTTCTCGTTTAATGAGCTTTCCCTACAAAACATTTTATAAAAAACCCTTCGGTTGTCTTCTTCCCCCTTTTTGTCGTACTTTTTCTCTAAAAAATCATTGTCATGGCGGTTTACATGAAGATCGAACTTCACTTTGTTGGGTTTTTTATAAGATACCCCGAACTTAGTTATACGTATGGAGCGAAACAAAGGTGCAAAGATGTTGGTTTTGTTGGAATGGACGACAACTAGTATGTTGGTCATGCAAAGATTTGCAAATGAAATGTGTGTAAATATTTACTTTTGCATGTCTGACATAGACTTTCCTGATGGATTGATGATATTAGCTACTGAAATTAACTACCAAGACTTCATTAAAGTTGGGTATGTTGTTGGTTGTGTCCTGGATGTATACATGGATCATCTAGGTGTGAATGTGCATCAATGGATTATCAATAAGCAACTTGATGGGAGCGTTGTGGAAGACAATCATTCTGAGGGAGTTATGCATAATGACCTTGATTAAGTGCATGGTAATATCCATGATGACCTTGAACACGTAGATTATAATCCAATGACTAAGACCATGGACGATGTGTTTTTGAACAAGCTATCCCCAAAGGTACAGTCAACCCCAAACAGTCCACCTCATGAGGATCCATATCTTCAAATATAATACAATGAGGTAAATCTTGAAGAGGTTACTACAAATAATCAAAATGTGCATTGGAAAAAACAAAAACACGTGTTAGGAATGTGATTTGATAGTCCAAAACAGTTAAAGCTTACGTTATGTAATTATGTTGTTGTTAATGGATATCAGTTGTGCTACAAAAAAAATGGCAGTAGAAGACTTTTAGTTAAATGTTGTTCTAGCCAGTGTAAGTTTAGGTTGTGGGCTTCATGGATGAGTGAAGAAAACTCTTTCCAGATTAAGTCCTCTATAGATGAGCATAATTGTGCAAGAAATTTCAAACTTGGATTAATTGTTAGCTATGCTTAGATTGGCATCCATTTCACAACTAAGTTCTTACAAAAACCGGAAATCAGTGTTAGGATGCTCAGGGAAGAGGTGAAAAGACTTTTGGTATTGATGTAAGTATGGGTCAGTGTAGGATAGCAAAAAAAGCATGTTGTTGAGCTAATTGAAGGCACATTGGTTGAGCATTATTCAAAGCTTATGGTGAGGAGATAAGAATATCAAACCTTGGATCAACTGTGAAAATGGATGTCAATAGTATGTCGGATGGGAAAACTTATTTTAGTAAGTTTTATGTATGTTTTAAGGGACTAAAGCAAGGTTAGATGGGTAGTTGTAGAAGAGTAATTAACCTGGATGAGTGTTTCCTTAAGGGGTTATGTACTGGATAGTTAATTAGTGTAGTTGGAAGGGATGCTAGTAATCATATATTCACAATTGCATAGGCAGTTGTTCGTGTGGAAAACAAAGAGATTTGAAAATGGTTTTTGGATAATTTAAAAGATGACTTAGGAATGGCAAATGGTTTTGGATTTACATTGATGTTAGATCAGCATAAGGTATGTTACTTACTTGTATTCTATTTATAAATGTTATTTACTTGTATTGTTATATCAATTCAACTCTAAATGTGAAGGGACTATTGCAAGCTATGAAATAGATTTTACCTAGTGTTAAACAGAGACAGTGTGCAAGGCATATTGTTGCCAACTTCAGGAAAAGATTCCCCAGAGTACGTTATGAGAAGATATTTTGGAAGGTGTAACGCCCGGGTTTCAGGGCTAAGCATTTTTTGGGCGATGTAGTAGTCTTGGTCAACTATTGTAACTATTTTTGAAGCAATAAAGATAAAATATTTGAATTCTATGTGAATTATGTGTATTTGTGTGCTTATTACTTAATTATAAAGATATAATTAATAAAGAATAAACATAAGCGTCAAAATAAAGTGTGATATAAGTCCAATATCTTTACAAAAAGTTGTAGTGATCAAAACAAGGATTTCGGGGATATAAAGAACGTCGAAATCCGATTTATAACGAAGAAGTTATGACCCGTCGAAGTTTCGCGACGGAATCGGCACGGCACCGGGAAGCGTAAAAAGTGAATTTACGATAGAAAGACTTTTTAGCCTTAGTAATCTAAACCAAAGTCATAGAGTATGTTAAACCGAGAAAATCCATAAAAAGAACGCCCAAATCTAACTTCGTATGAGGAAATTATGATTTTTTCAAAGTTTCGGCTTAGCAGTGTACAACCCGAAACTCGAATTTTAGTTCGAGGGATTTCCGACTTAGAGACCTAAATGAGAGTTGAAGATCTCATTAATAGGAACTCAACGGTAAAAAGACAGACGAAAACGGAGTCTGTATGAAGGAGTTACGAATTCTTTGCGGTCATTTAGCAATCTAATATCCTCCTACTGTTAAATTTAAGATCGGTCGAGAATTAGCCAACGGAGTCTAAATGAAAGTTGTAGACCTTGACTTTACCTACACGTAGATATAAAGAACGTTAAAAACAAATTTTGTATGTGAAAGTTATAAATTTTTGAAAATCAACTGATTTCCACCATGTGTGCAATGCCACGTGTCAGCACCGGATTGTGCTTGGTTGTACCCAGCTGGCCACAACGTGGGCATCAAATGGCCACGACGTGGGAGCCTCTTCAGCCTCCTATAAATAAAAACGCCCCTCTCCTTCATTCCTCACACCTTAACCGTTCATTAATCTCTATATACTCTCTCTCTCTCTCTCTCTCTCTTTCTCTCTCTCTCTCAGCCCCGAAACCCCCCAAAAAGCCTATGGGACCCCCTAGCAGGAGGCGAAAGCCCCGATTTTGAAAAAAACCCGTTGTAAGTGAGCTACGCCTAACCTATCTTTAGTATAGTTTATGTTTTAATATAATATGTTATTATGACCTTATAATAAGTACTTGAGTTATTATTATGGGTTATATAAGTATCGTTTAACGCTTATATAATAGTAATAATAGCTAGACTATTAATTAGTCTCGATGAATATTAGACTAAACCCTAGTGGTAATGATACAAGGTTTTGGCGAAGGAAATTTGTGTTAAGAGTAACGAAGTGTTGTCCAAGTGCCGAGTCACCACCTTCTCAGTTGAGTGCATAGTTACTTTCATCTTACACATAGATATGAAGTATTTAATATAAATTACGTGCTATGTGTGCATATTTCCTGAATACTTGTTATCTATGTTGGATGAATGATTTTATACATGTTTTCAAATGATATAAACTGTATATTTATTTTATATCTACAAAATGTGTTGGGTAAAACATGGGTAGATGTAATAGTTGGTGTGGTGAAATAAATTGATGAGAAACCTCGATGTTGTTGGTGATCCAATCATCTAGCAGAGTATAGATGAAGACCACATACTCTTCTAGATAGTCCAGTGGAATGCTGGCAGGCTCGCAACCTGTAGGTGTTTGTGAACAATGTGTTCACCGGTGTACTCCATCCCCCACATGGTTGCCTTTAGGACATTTATTGCTAAAGAACCCCCTTAGCAATAGTGTCCATCCCGATGATAATCCTTAGGATAGGTCCCTTATGATAGGTGTTTAGGGACATAATGTGAGGATAACGGGAACGAGTAATCAGGTTATTGTTGGTTGATGAATTTAATAAACTTATTTATTGTGGGTTAAAAACTATATGTGCTCACTAGGATCCCAAGCCCGACCCACTCAGTTTCTTGAATTACAGGTAGTGGCGTTAGAGCATAAATGTGATGTTTTGGATGAGGGATTACGTATATAAGCCTGTAGATATGAAATAATGTAGTAAGGCTTATATTGTACTGTTTATACTTTTGATATGTATCGAACTTGACATCCCGAGTCTTTTAATGAAATAAATTTCTACGGAAATGCTTTGATAAATCTTTATCATATTTTGTCTTCGAGACAAATTCTGCAACTCTTTTATTTAAAATAGTACTCTGATTTTTAAACAAAGTATAAACAAAACCGGTCTTTTCTGACCGTGATTTTGGGGATGTCACAGAAGGCATGCAAGGCATCTACTGAGCCTTTACACAATGCAACAATGAAGGAAATACAACTTCTCAATCCTTCAGCCTTTGAGTATCTAACGGAGAAGAACCCACAATCATGGTGTAGAGCTTTCTTTCAGGAGGGCAAGATGTGTGATGTTATAGAAAATGGATTGTCGAAGAGATTTAACAATGTGATAAGAAATCGATGAAAGGAAAAAAAAACAATCATCATAATGCTTGAAGATATTAGATTGTATGTTATGGAAAGGCA